CAGTGAAGTTGGTATCACTGCACTTTGTAAACAACACACCTTTTAATACAAACCGCGTTTGTTCCCTACAATGTAAATATTGTTATGTTCAAGTATTGCAAAATTGTTATGACGGCTGAAAAAATATTTGCGTCATTCTAAGAATTATCAGCAGGGGGCTTAGGAATCGATACAGTTCTTTGGTATTTTATTTTATTTGAGGAAGAGAACAGTGATTGTTTTCAAATATAACTGCTTAGTTACCAGTAATAAAATGTTACAGCCTTATTGAAAATACCATTTTCATGAACTTGTGCAATTTATTCCCGTAATGTGAGGTGTAGGTTTACACACCACGTTACTTCCTGAATCTACGTAATCGGCTTCAGAGCCGTAAAACCTAATTGGTTTATCGGCCATACATAATACAGTTTCATTATCCATCAAATGTTATACGAGATCGTAAACTTACGTAATGTTCTAATCATGGGTCAGTTAAAATGTAGACTAAGTGCCATTTAGCGTTGTGTTATCTGTGAACTTAAAATTAGGCCGAGAATACATAGTCTGCAAACATAATATTCACAATGGAATTAAACCTTGATATTAAACCTCTTTCGAAGTAAATGCGGTAAACATTGATATTTTATCTAAGTACAAGGCTGTTCGGTCAGTTACCTTTGCATTGGCTCGGATTAAAAAAAGAATAAAGTAGAGATGTGTTCAATTTATAATTCAAATTAGATTATCATTATAGTTTTAAAACGTTAAAATGCATTAGTTCACTGTTTAATTATTTAGATAAAACTCACTTAATTCGTGTCTAAAATGTAATTAAAAGACGTCGAGAAGAACAGCTCTATCCAAATATACCTGTATATTGTCCAAAAAAATAAAAATAGGTTCGAATATTTAAGCGTGTCAAAAAAAACAGACTAAGTTTCGCATTCTCGACCTTTTTTTTTCGGAAAGTCTTGAGAAATTACCTCAATTGTGTTATTTCGAGTCACTGACCGCTGCGTGTCTCCCGGTGATTCAAAATTGCAAATAATAGGCCACACCCGTTCTTACAGTTGACACATTGTTGCACAACATATTTTAGCAAAGAAGATGGCTACTTGCTAGCATTCTTGTAACAACAATACATAGCAAACATCAATGTCAAAACTAAACTAAGCTAACCATCTCACTGGCATTCTCACGATACCTTCGTTATTGTATTAACTCGTCGAGTACCGGTTTTATAGACACAATTAAAGAACAATAGGTCGCGGTCACCGGTGACCGCTTGGTGTTTGACAGTTTAATAGTTATGTATGAAGCCTGTAGATGGTTACAGTTGATAAATGATGATTCAACTGTGCCGCTGACATACTATATACGCAACAAACGTTATTAGATAAGTGCTACGGAAGCTACGATTTGCGTCAAATTCGTCAGGTCGGATAAGTTTCGGAAATACATCTGGTCGCTGGTGATACATCCATATATCTTCTGTTTATCTCATTCAATTCGGTTTAGTCATATCGGAGATTGTGTTGTAGAGATAACAACAATTACATATTATAATGTAGATCATTGATACTCCAGTGTTATTTGAGGTCCTACATACCGTGATGGTATACTCATCAAATATGTCGATAGTAAATAAATCATGTTCCTAATTTATTGAACTCAATTTCCATTTAAATAATCCGATAGATATCTTCATTTTATGACAGTTCTATAATTAAGAATGAACATCTAATCCGTTTAGAGGTCACATAACTATAGACTTAAATACCGGCTTTGTATTGTAAATAAAAACGCATGCAGATTAAGTAGCTCCCACGTGTTGCGCTGACGTCTTATCTGAGACATTTATCGCGAAATATTTTTTTTATTCTGATACAGAAATATAACTTAAAATAATTGCTTTGTTGTATTGGAATTATTTGTATATTTTTGATGAAGAAATAGCACTTTATGTAGCATTTTTCAGTCAGTGTGTTCTATGTGTTACAATCGGCGCTCGCGTACGATAATTGTCGCCGGGTTGTTTTGGTTTCCAGTCATTGTGTGCCCATTAAGCTTGTTACCAGCGCCGGGACGGTCACCTCTATATACGCTTGGACAGTGCCTCTTATTACATCATAAAAATACCGGCCAGAATATACCTGGTATCTTGTGTTTAAAAAAAAGAACTTTGTGGAACTTAGTGTTGTGCTAACGACCTTTTGACGATGTAATTAAGTGAATAAGGCTGGGTTTTGTTTACTAATAAGGCGAAGGACATGGCAACAATCATTGTGAGTGGGAAGGTAACAATAGATTCCTTATATTCAAGTTCGGATACCAAAATAGTACGATTTTCATACATTTTCAATGAGCGTTTCCACTTTAATTGAAGCGACTTTGATACCTGTGGATTGCTATTTTCCTCCTTATTTAGCTAAGTGGTTGTTGCTTAATACAGATAATTGTTATTTAACATAAGAAACCAAGCCGTCAAGATAACTAGAAATCAGTGAACGCTTTTTATCGAGTTGCTATCACCGCCTATCAAAGATTATACAGTATATTTCAGTAGTATACGACTTCAATAGTAAATATACACTTTATTATGTATTTCATAACTGTATGTATAACCCGACTATATGTATGGGTGTATAATGTTGCGGTTGCCGATATGATTCATAGGAAGGAATATAAACAGTTTAATATTCAATTCATGGCAAGCACACGTATCAAATGTAATGAAAATTATTTACACTAACATTCGGACTTGGAGTTATAATATTGTGATTTATTAACATTAAAATATTTATATTAGTTTGTTAATTTGTGAGTGAAACAACGAAACATGACGCGGACTAACAGATTTTCGCAAATTATAGAAAAGGTAATTTTAAATTAATGTTTCTTTTAAACAAGGAAAGTGTAAAGTGGGTTCTATACGTAAGGTGCATATTTTAAAATGATTTTATCTTCACGTTGCTTATGGTCTTTGAATTAAGGATTATAATAAAGCAGTATTTTGTTTCATCATTTCTTTATTGCGAGAAAATGCATAACAGATTTTCCTTTAGTCTAAGGTCCTTTTGATAATAAAATCTTATGTTTTTTATGGTTTACCAACAAACATCTAGGGAAAATCATAAATCAATTAATGTTCTATCAACATTTGTATGAAGCAAAAAGCAGTGTTAACGTTTTTGGTCCAACTAAAAGATATTCAGAAAAATTAGTTCAAAGTACAATAAAGTACCTTAAATTGGAAGTACATAGCCCCTATTTATAGCAATGAGGTGAAAGGAAATAGACATTACCTTTTTCAGCTGACATTTGTCGAAATAAAATGTACCTACATACCTACACATTTCAGTCTGACATTCAAACAATGAACTTTAGCTGAAATGCTAACTCTTAGCACTTTTTACTCATCGTAGGTATACTATTGTGTAAATGTACTACTTCATATGAAACTGAAGTCATGTGTCGCGCTCATAAATATGAGCCCCCGGTGCGGCTTGAAACTAGTCGAGATATCTTTTAAAACAGTCAATGTGGGTCAACCGTTTAACATAATTCATTGAAACAGATTCAGATGATATTTAAAAAGATAGATCATGACCTGAATTAATATAGGATGTTTGATATCAGGATAACTGGTAGTGTATTAGCATACCTAATAATAAAATACGTTTCGTCAAATAATATTTCAGTTACATATTATTGCCGTCAACAAAACAGTGATAATTATTCATTCATTTATTAATAAATTGAATCATGAGTCAGTGAAGTAAACATTTGTAATTCCTGTATAAGTCCTTACAAAATGGGAATTATTATTTATGTTTCTGCCGACCAACATATAATTTCACATACAATACACATACACAATAAATACACTCAGTCCCGGATCTACAATTTGTGGCTCACACAAAGAGTTGTTCTGTGCAGGAATCGAACCCGGGACACATTGCACAGCAGCTGGTCGCCAACCGTTCAGTAACAATCAGTCTTACTTCTTATCCATTACATTATTTCAATACTCGTTTGTTTGTTTCAAACAATTGGGTATTTGCCAACTAGTCAAATTCAATACTTTTTCGAACTGACAAAAACGACAGTCATATATTTTGTACGAGATTGTGTATTGTGACGTCACGTTTTTTATATGAACAGCATAGTTAAAAATATCAAAACAGTACACTTATTTCTTAAAATATTGCTATAAAAATAATTAAATTAAGTTGGTCATAAAGTCAATTAATCAAAGTGTAATTATTTTTTATATTTCATTATATTGAACAGTCCACATAATAATTTTTGATAAAGGAATGTACCCAATTTTAAAGTTAAATAAATATAATGAATCCTTCATTCACGACACTAAAGAGGTTTTCATTGCCAAAATAATGGCTAAAAGGTAATGACCTTAATACATACTTAGTTGACCTTTAGCTCAACCCTTATCCCATTGTTTATATGTACCTACATTGTTCGGTATTTGTGTTGGGCAGTTCCAATGTTTGTACAGCAAAGGGCACGCTGTTACATTAATTTCCAGACACATTTCGAAACTAAGATTGATTTATTTTTAACTGACAGTCAAAATAATATATAGCATCAAATGATTCTCGGAACAGGCCTATAGTTCAGCAGTGGCCTGCCACGGGCAGTTTCATTGTTTGGATGTTTACCCTGAAACTACGGATTTTGATGAAATTTGGTATACAGGCATGGTATGGTATGACTTAGGTGATAGGATTATATATATATACTTTTATCCCGTTTAAATGCTCCTATGGGATAAAACAGGAACCATATTCTACGCAGACGAAGTCGGAGGCAACAGCTAAACGTGAAATATAAACGTTTAATATAGGTTTATCTTACTATGTATTGTAGCTACAACAACCTGCAACATACATCCAGTCGACTGACAGTCTGCCTTATACCTGAAGTATATATTAACTTATATAGTGTTTCAAATGAAATAAATTAAGTTATCAATGTAATATTTCGTTTATTTCCAGGAGTCCTGCCGGCTGGTCGGCGGCTCCAAGTTCTACGAGATGATGGACAGTGCCACGTCTGCGGACGTGTCCACTCCCTCGCCCACTGAGAAACACGACCACATGAAGCCCACTGAGAGTGATGATGAAGGTGATTATCTTGTGTTACAATGCTATATCAATTTACTGAACTTTCGCATTATATTTTTCGCTTTTAACATAGGATACCTAAACTAAATATTTTGTCGCGGAGAACCTAACGAGTAACCGGGGCTGCGGCTCGACGTGCAGGAGAAGGAACGGGGTAGTTTTTAGTCAGTAAGAGTCTGACACTCCCTTCCGCCTCACCCAGGCGGGAGCAGACATTCGATGATTTTCCCCCCTTAAAAAAAATCTAAATATTTTGGTTTGAAATCGTTTATTAATATCGGCTGCAAAGTATAGGAAGTAAGTTCTACACCAACTTTAAAATTTACAAATTGTTCGGTTAAAATCAATAGGTAACCTTGCTCATGTCTTCTACAAAAAATGGACGGACGAGAGAGAAATGTTGACAATAATTAACTTGTACCCATTTATATTATGTCGAATTTTCGCAAGTTTTAACTGTCAAACATGGGGTTCTTTCGGTTCAGGTAGAACAGTTTTTGTTCACCCCTTCCGAGAACAATAGAAAGCAGGCCAACTTGCATATACTTGATGGTATTTAAGTATTATTTTTAGACGAAGGCGACTTTGACAATTCGTAAACATCCCTTGGTACCACATTTACTATATTATCAGAATATCTAACAATTTTATAAAAAGCGACTGCATGATTAGCATGCTGGCTGGGTATACACTACTGCACAACGTAGCACGGGTTCGATTCCCTTACGGATCAATCCTTTTTGTGATATACAAATCTTTGTTCGGAACCAGACCCCGGAATAATGTTTTTACAATAGAATATAGAACAATGCTGTATGTATGTATGGTGTTTGCGAAATTTGTATTTGTAAACGAACCCGTGACGTAGGAGAAAATCCTAGTGGGGCAATGTTTTTTTTTAATAACAAAATGGCCAGGTGCCGGGTATTATGGCCGGCGCGTTCAAATTAAGAGTACCTTGCAGCTGGCTTTTTTATAACAGCTGGGCGTACAGATGCATGAATGTAATGGAAGCTATAGAAGTATGTAAGGGTCGTACTAGATGGCGCTCTTTTACTTATATTACCCCTAGTACACAAAGGCGGGAGTTTATGATGTTATCAGACTAATAGTCTGATAACATCATAAACTCCCGCCTTTGTGTGTATACTATGGTGATTCCTCAATATTTTCATAATTTGAATCCAACTTCAGTAAACATCAACTTGTATATTTTTAGTAAATACTCTTTTGTTATTTTAGGGTAGCCTAAGGTCAGACAGCTGTCAGCCTGTCGACCTATTTGACATTAGTGGAACTGTGATTTATGAGCTTTAGCAGCTTTGACGAGTTAACAATAATCGATTCATAACGACTCGTATGTATAAACTTACAGCGATTACAATCGAGATAGCATCGGTTCGGAAGTAAATGAATCGATGAAATTGTAACAGAAATATTGTTCAAGCAAGACAGTATCTTTTTAATACAAGATTTGATGTTCAAATGAAATTATTGTTTTGTCCAGATAAACACTATCTCAATCAGTTAGGTACTTTATTAGTTCTTAGTTCCTACAGCAGGGCTCTATGATAAACATGAACCTTTTAACTTTGATCTCCTATCCTAGCATAGAGATTATGACAAACCATCTTACGTTAGGCTTATAGCCCATCGACTCTCACTTTTGTATAAATGATGACGAATTTCATTGTTAGGTCTACATTTTTTCATTTTACTTTATATTGATATTATTATTTTTAAGTCAACTAGTAAAAAGGTTTCCTGATTTGTATCAATAGAACTGACATGTCTTCAAATAAAAGTCCTGTTCCTTTATCTGTATTTATATCTATATTATGACGAAGTGTTCTTATGAATTAAATATTCCCAGTATTTATTGAAATTTGACCAGTTTCAGACGTAGACCAAGAGTGCACGAGGTTCAGCGGTGTCAGTTACCTCGGCGCGCAGAATATATCGGACCCCAAATCAGAGAGTGACATCCAACGTATCATGAAGGAGCTCAGCTCTATGCCAGAAAGTAGAGATGGGATCGCCGTATCGATATCGATACCGGTATGCTCGCAAGGACTAGTAGTGTAAGTATGATTTTGTTTTTTAATTAACATCACTCATTATCGTCCTTATTAGGGAAGTACCGAGGTGTCCCTTAAGGAAATGTCTTTGTCTTCAAAACCTATGCACCTTTGAAGGTGTTCCCCGTTGCCAATAAACAAGTAGTTTTATGTCTGTATGAGATGAGAGTTGGTAACTCTTTCACTCACTCCCTATCGCCAATTACAAACTGAATACAATTTTCAGATGCTTATAAAATGAATAATGCTTTGTTCAAAAAAACAATAAAACGGAATAGTGAAGTCTAGTAGTGTTAGAAATGATCATTGGGTATCCATCCACAAAGAGAACTCTTAGAGTAGCTCAACTTCAATATATATAACGTCCAGTTTCTATAACCTATCTATCTGTAGATTTGCTTACTAGAGATAGAATTTTGACATGAGCTCCATACAAAATATGTCAAAATTCTACCTCTAGTAAGCAAATCTACAGATAGATAGGTTATAGAAACTGGACGTAAATTAGTCACATCTTAGTATCCCTGGTGTATGTTTAAATCAGCTTATCATGTTAAAAACTAAATAAAAAATGTGATAACGTAAAGAACCTAAGGGGATTGCCTGTTGTAGGTATTACGCCACGTAGGTTTTGTCAATAAACGCATATGTCCCTAAAAGTAAATATAAAAATGTACCCAATGCTTATCTTTATGGTATGTACTAAGGTTGGGTAGATATCCAAGTTATTTTGCGAAATATCGTTAGGTTTGAAAGTTGTTATATAGTTGTAGTTTGTTATATGTATAGGTTAGATACTGAATTGTTAACTTTTGCCTATTGTATAGTGATGATGACGACAAGATCGATTTCAGACTCGAATTAAGCAAAGTATTCTTAAATTGTGTGTATTCTTAAATTTTTATATTATATGTAACTATGCAATATAACAGGGCTCACCCAATACATTTTTTTTAAAACGTTGCCCCACACTAGGATTTTCTCCTGTGTCTGCGTTTACAAACATACAATATCACATACACATGACACCCAGACCCGGAACAACAATCTGTGGATCACACAAAGAGTTGTTCCGTGCGGGAATCGAACCCGCCCAGCTACCGCGCCAACCGTGCAGTCAATTTGCTTGTATTTTTTTTATTGATAAGTTGACGTTTGGCCACCATCTCGCCTGCGATGATGTGGCCGCCGATGGAGCACTCCTACCGATGAGCAACCTGTTCACTGGAAGACACACAAGTCATATTTGTCAGGAAACACAGATTCCGGCAAGGAATTCCATTTCTTAGCGGTTGGCACAAGGAAGCTTGCTTGATACGCAACGCTTCGTGCGAATGGATGGAATGTTCACCATATAAGGGTGGCGCCTCGCCGTTCGTCTGGTATTACGATGGTGAAACGGACTAGGGGAATAAAGTGGAATTCCCATGTTTTATGTTTGGGGGTGGCCTATGTTCAGCAGTGGATATCTTGTAGCAGATACATATATAGTGATGACAATGATTATCTAACTCCCAATCTCTTTCCCCAGGCTCTACCAAGCAGACTCAAATAATGTGATGACACGGTACGCGGTGAATCGTATCTCGTTCTACGCTCGCGGCGCTGCAGGTTCTCCAGTCGCCTCCTGCTTCGCCTTCACATGGTCTCACGGCGAGACCAAGGAGTCCGCAGTGTATAGGTGCCATGTCTTCAGGTGTCACATCGCTGAGGCCGTCAATCAGGTTTCAAGTAAGTGAAAAACTTCATTTTACCTGTGTTGCAAGTCTCGCCAGGTACTCATGCGAAAGCCATGCAGAGACTGGCTGATGCTACGTGATTATGAGCCCTTGGGGGCCTTGAAATTAGTCGAGGCACCTCGTCAAACAGTTACATTAGTAAATTGTGCAATAATTAATTTAATATATCTCGGGATGCTTAAAATATATTTCACCATCTATATATATAAAAGAAAGTCGTGTTAGTTACACCACTTATAACTCAAGAATAGCAGAATAGATTTGGCTGAAAATTGGTAGGGAGGTAGCTTAGAGCCAGGAGACCGACATAGGATACTTTTTAACCAATTTTTTTTTTTACTTTTTACCGAAAATTACGAACGGGAACGGGAAAAAATGGGATTACGCATACAAAGTCGCGGGTAGAAGGTAGTTATCTATATTAGCGCCTTTGCAATTGACGCTTCATCGTTACTCGTAATATTCGCATAGGAAGAGTACAGCGAGCATGTACTTGTTCAAACAAGTCCACAGACGAAGCGTACGGCTTTAGATGTTTATTATCATTCCGATAGTCGAACGATGAACTTAGTAAATAATAATTGTTATGTTATCTACTGATTTCTGCAGTTCCGTATTGTAATTACTGTACTACAGTTATGACTGAAAATTACTATTCAAACTTAAAAACTAAAACCTGCGATGCACTCAAAATATGTACTACGAATAACACTGAATACAATATTCAATTCACAGCACATTCCACATTTCCATAGTACCCACGTGACTTTTTAGAGTTATATAAACTTTTTAAGTTCATTTAGACACCACTGACAAACGGTGAAGGAAAACATCGTGAGGAAACCTGAGCTTATAATTTCTAATGTTAAGTTTGAAATCGCCAACTCGCAATGAGCGAGCGTTGTAATTAATGCTTAAACCTTCTCTGTGCCTTTGGTCAGCAAAGGATACTTAAAGCCTTTTTTAAGGGGGAAAATCGTTGACTGACTTCTCCCACTAAGGTGAGGCGGGAGAGTGTCAGACTCTTACTGACTAAAAGCCACTCCGTTAGTCCGTCTACTTCGTGAGCCAGTCTGTCCACTCCTACTCCTGCACTTCGAGGTGGAGCCCCGGTAAACTTTTACGTCTCTCCGCGGCTCCGTATCGGCATCAGCCCAGCTTAAAACCTGTTAATGTGATATTCCATACTACGGATAAAAATACTGAAACTGACTAACACTTAAATAGCACACGAATTTAAATTGCTAGTACAAACTCACGTGTCTTTTATTTGGTAGGATATGTTGTGACGGTTTATTATCATTACGAGTTCGCCTAATGTCGTGACGATGCGTTATTATTATGTGTGTAGAGGAAATAACTGGGGACAGTACTCTCATCGCATGTGTAGTGCGTTGTACACGAAATATCTGTTCAGTGTGAAATTTTGGTGATATGAAGTATTACGTGATTTTGTTTTAACACTTATCATTTTTACTCTTAGGGCCGATTTTTCTAATGCCAAATTTTATCATAGGAATAACTTTGAATGTTTGACAATTCTTCCATACTAAAAACTGTCGAAAGTCAATTTTATTCTACAGTTAAAAATTATTTGTTGATTGAAAAATCGGTCCTTGGTTCAATCAAATAGAGATAGAAGTATATAGGTGTGTGTGCGTTTTGCCAATACATAGATTAATTAAGACAAAATTGAATGTTTTTTTTTTAAGTTTAGTGGTGAGTTACTGTGACAAACATTGTGGTATTTGAAACCTGCTAGCTATAGAGAAGTTATAGCTATATTTGCTTCGATAACTAAATTGATAATGAAAAATAATATTGATATCGTTTGGTCGCCAAATTTTATTTTAACTATTATATTAAATATTTCTTAAATATTGTGGTGAGTAAAGTTTAAAAACTGAATACCTATTTACTGTTACCTTTTTTTAAGAAAACAAAAAAGCAAATGAAATTATTTATTTTCAGTTGCAATAGCATCTATAAATTTATTTTATGTATTACTCATTTACATGAAAATTCTATACTATCCTCTTAGAGATTGCATTTTCAATACAAAACTCATTGGCAAACAAAAGATATATTAACAAAAGTGGTTTACCTACTGACTGAGAAACAATCATTCTTGTATCTTGTATTTCCATATTTGTTAAGTAAAGCGTGGGTACACGGGTACACGATATCTAACTGTCAGATCACGTCTCCACCTACCAGTTTGTTTTTATAGTTCTTTAAGTAAACTCGAGATGTTAGTAGTGATAACTTTGTCGTATATTGTGATTATTTATTGAAACATTAGCTTTTGCTAGCGATTTTATCCTCTTAACAATTTTTAATTCGGGCATAACTTTAAATAATTCTAGTAGCATTTCTCTATCTATCTGTAGAAAGTTTAATCAATGTCTGTTCAGTAGTTTCATAGTCAAAGTTATATTAAAGGAAGTAAGGATCAATTTCAATCGTCCTTTAAAAGTATTTAATATACCTATTTAACGGATAAATTTGTTTATTCCACTTCAAACTTTCAGGTTGGTTGGTGGATATCTTATACTCTTAAACTATTATATAAAGCGGAAGAGGTTGTTTTTTTTTTGTTTGTTTGTTTGAACGCGCTAATATCCGTGACTACAAGTCTGGATAGAATAATTCTTTTTGTGTTAGATAGCGCATTTATCGAGGATGGCTATAGGCTATAAAACATCACGCTACGACCAATAGGAGCTGAGCAGAGCGTGTGTAACCGCGCGGAAGTAGCTAGTCTAACATTAAAATCAATTTCAGCAGGATATTGTAAAAAAATGTAAATGAAAAGTACTGAACCTTATATAATTTCGTCTGTTTATTTACACACATTACAAGAACACCTTCCCGTTGATTGATAAAGCAGATACGACGCGAAGTGTGCTCTACAAAATAAACAAATGATAATTTTAGAAGTAGAGTACCCAATTAATCGCTCGGTTATATGAGTTAGTTCGACGTTGGAAATTCAAAAGTGCGGTATTAAAGATTTGTAGCCGCACCGCACGACTACATACCTACCAGTTACCAGTACCACCGAATACCTTTCCATATACCAGATACCTTCCACAATACCTTTACCAAAGTTATAGACTCACTTCGTTTAAAGAAACAAGAAACCAATTGTCTTGAAAAAGACAGTTTTCGACTTTCTTGCATAGAAACGATAATCATCACTGCGGCAACAGCGTTATCACACCGTGCCGCGAGCGATCGCTTCGAAAGAAGCGGTTTGGTAAAGCAAGCAGCGCAAGCGGAGCCGGAGCCGGAGGCCGGAGTACTTGCATTCATCTTCATTTCATCTGTAGGTAGTCTTCAGTCTTCACTCAACGCCGGCTCTCGGAGAAATGCGCGCGCTCGCGCCGCGCGGTCTTACTTATACGGAAGGAACCGATAGTGCCGTGTGCAAAGCGGCGCCCCGCACCCCGCGCGCCCCGCGCACGCCGGCGCGCCGCTATTGGTCGAAACTATCACCTAACTATATCTGATCTTGTCTAGTTGTAAATATGTAAATAGAAATATAAGTAGCGTAGTTTGGCGAAATAAAATCATTCTTGTCAACACCTCTCATCGGAGTTTCACTACTACTAGAAGATAAGAAGAAACCTCCTCTAGGACACTAGGCTCTCCTACCTAGCTCCTAAATTGGTGACCCCGACGCTGCCAACGGATCTCTGCAAGAATCAATCAATCGCCGCCTAGTACTACAGAAAATCAAGCTCGTCGTAATGTCCAACTCCAACGAAAAAACGCCGGAACTCTCCAGCGTGTCGACGTCACTGCGCATCCCACCCATATGGCGCGACAGAATACGCCTATGGTTTGCGCAGTTCGAGGCGATTATGTCTCCGCAGAAAAAGGGCGACCAAGCCATGTTTGAGCTTGTCGTCGGTCATCTCGAAAGACAAGACCTCGATGAAATATCCGACATTATCCTTCATCCTCCGGAGAGAGACCGCTACGAAACCCTCAAAAACAGACTACTCCAGGTCTATGAGGAGTCTGAACAGCGTCAAGTTCAACGCCTTCTCTCCGAGATGGAGCTCGGCGACTTAAAACCATCACAGTTACTTCGCCGGATGAAGAATCTCGCCGCGGATAATATATCTGACGCTGCGCTTCGTATTATGTGGACAAACCACCTCCCCCAGTCCGTGCGCGCAGTCCTCGCTGTCAGCGACAACATCGCTAAACACTCGGACATCCACGATCTAGCGATGATGGCTGACAAAATACTCGAACAGACGCAACCTCATGGCACAGTCGCTGCTGTGACTGAAAACCCCGCTTTCCCCCGTGTACCTACAAGTATTGAAGACAAAATCGATATGCTTACGAGGGAAATCGCCGAACTCAAAGCAGCACAATCTAACCATCGTTGCAACCGTCAGTCGAGACGACCTCAGAACAGATCGCGATCATCGAACCGATATCGCTCCCAGTCCAGACAGCGCGATAACACTCCACGCCGCACGGAATCTTCTGGAATTTGTTATTACCACCGCAAGTTCGGGAAGGAGGCACAGCGATGCACACGTCCGTGTAATTTCCAGAACAACAACACCCGTCCGGAAAACTAAAAGGTGCGTTGGATGAGGCGGGAACCGGCGCAACAACTACGTCATACCGCCTGTTTATAACAGACAGAAACTCACGTCTGTCATTTCTAATTGATACTGGCGCAAACGTCTCCGTCATCCCTAAACGAAAAGGCGTGAAGATAACCCCAACTGACTTCTGTTTATACGCCGCAAACAACACGGTTATACCTACCTACGGTGAGAAGACGCTACAATTGGACCTAAACCTACGCCGACCTTATAGTTGGAAATTCATCGTCGCTGAAGTCAGCAAGCCAATCATCGGCGCCGACTTCCTACGCCACCACCAACTACTCGTCGACATAGCCGGTCGATGTCTTGTCGACAAAGTAACCAACCTCACCGTCAAAGCGCCAATCTCATATTC